CTTTAAGTAATGTACAGTTCGCATGTGTGCCATCTCTCAATGCTTCTACAGTCGGCTGTTAATATTTGGAGTGCTCCAACTCTGTCAGTGCTAGTTTCTCTAGATCATGCAAATGGGATGCAGCAATAAACCACATATGGTTTATTGCTGCATCCCATTTGCATTATTAAGCAATAAACCACAATGGTTTATTGCTTAATAATGCAGCACAAAATAGTTGACACCAAGTATAGCTGCTTTTGTGACTCCGTTTTACCAAAAGCTCTGCCGAAACAAACTTGCCCCCTTATAGGTAGTGCAAAAGAACCTCGCGTGCCTAACCTGGAGAAGGGCATTTTTTTTCATAGGTTAATTTTTTCTTAAAGCAATACCTTCAGCCTCCTTGAAATGTTAAGATCATGTGACACTCAGAAGAACAGTAAACCCCTTAATGTTGGCGACCCTTTAATTTTCGCGGCCTTTAATTTTATGGAATTCAGTGGCTGCGATTATGTCCTCTGTGACCGATTCGAGAAGAAATAGGGGCCACCAAGATAAGGGGGTTTTACTGTACATCGGAGGAGAGAGGAAGTCACTTTTGTTTGTACACTGTAAAAAAATTTGCCCTCTTTTACGGAGAAATTCTCTGGCACCAATGCTGCCGGAAAGATCATCCGTAATCCTATTAACGGAATGTTCCTTTTAAACACGTACACAGTCCGCAAATAAAAGGACAATCCGCAAAACAGATTACGGAAAGTGCTCTACTATCCGTAAGGACATTCATGAGCTGTCCGTAAAACAACGGACTGGAATATGCCTTCCGTAAAACCTATTACGGAAATCGCTCTAGTATCCGTAAAAGTGTTTAAAAGTTGTCCGTAAAAGGCCAAACAAAGTAGGCTTTCCGTAAATGATATTACGGAAAGCACTCTTGAGTATCCGTAACCGTATGCGGAGCGCAAGTTCGTCTGCTTCTTGCGCAGGGGTTGCGGTGATGTCAGAACGCCGAGCTCTCATTGGCTGATCGAACAAAAAAAAAAAATAGTGGGTACACTTCCTGGTTTCTAGCATTGTGGTCTACCCACTATATCCTTCCAATCAAAGCCAACGAGAGCTCGGCGTCATTCTGACGTCACTGCAATGCCTGCGCAAGCAGCAGACGACTTGCTCTTCACATAGGGCAGCGTCAATAGAAAGGTAGGCTGTAGGATGAGCTACAAGAATCAATGCCTACATTTAGCAAGCTCAAGTTATTATCAAAGGTTTTCATTTTGTGACACAGATCACTGTGAAACACTTTAAGGTGCAACTCCATTCTGTGAAAAATATTAATTAAATTATTAAAACTTTTGACAATGGGCCCCGATGTATACAAGTGAGTCATGTTGAGTGCTCTTATCGAAAGGTGCAGCAACCTGTTCTGGAAAGCAGACAATACAGCTGAGCAATGCATCTGCAGCAAGTTTCCTCAATGTCGGTTGCTTTGTTTTCTTTTAGTTCTGGCATTCAGATCAACGTGCAAAATTATAGAAGGTAGTGGCATTACAAAACCGATCGACCACTGCAGTCATTGAATTTTTAAACGGCGACATGAAGCACCTTCTCGACGACCGCATACATAACTGTCATATGCGTCGCTACCCATCCTTGAAAATATTGAGATGGCTGCTCTCGCATTCCAGAGACGAAGCTACGCCTTGACATCTCACAATAGTCTGCACTGCTGAAATAGACGTTTGGAAAAAATCTGAGCTCAATGTTCGTAGAAGCCGATTTCTCCACTTCATTTTACAGCCAGTTCCTTAGTGATGCTGCCCTACACATAGAGTGATGTTCATTGTGACGCTGATACAACCAGTTTTCTTTAAAAAAGGTGACAGAACTTTGAACTGCGAAAGGATCTCTTTAAAAGAATATCCCGAGTTTTCTTTCCTATGTTGCTTGCAGCAATCATGCAATTTTATCTGAATAAGTGACCAGAAAATAAGAAAAGTACCTTGAAGCACTTTATTTAGGGTCCTTGAGAGGGGAGTTCCCTGCTGTTTGGCTTTGCTTTCAGATGCTGCATTCCGCATGCTGTTCTAAACAGGAGAAAACGCAGAAAAAATAATTAAATAACTATCCCTCCAATAACATGTGCAAATTGAGCTTTGTACCTAAGACACGGCCCCCTTCAGCCCATTTAATTATTACTCATCTTGTAAAACAGTCAAACAAATATTGCCCCTAATTGTTTTTATAATCCGCTATCTAAAATTAAACTTCGATTTCAGAGTTTTGTTGACCTGTTCTTTATTGATAAAGTTTGTGGGAAGTTGAACAAGTCTACGTAAAACTGGCTACTAAGCTCCATATCCCAGACTTTCCTAAGTTCACACAGCCATTTAAAACCTCCGATTATGACAAAGGGCAAGTTGCACTCTTTCTCGTTGTCGAAGCAGGTGTACACAGAGCGTGGACATTAGAAACCTCATTAAGGTAGCAATCTGGGCCAGTTGGTTCATGATCACCTAAAGCGCAAAAAATACAAGGACGAGGAAGTAGACAGACAAAAACTCTTGTCCGTCTACTTCCTCGCCCTTGTATTTTTTGCGCTTCTTTAGGTGGGCATTAGAAACCTCTTCATCTTTACCGATATCCCTAAGGTAAGGTTTTTGCAGAACTGACAGGGTGAACGAGTGAATGTGTACTAAAATTGCTATCAAAAACTGGGGATCAAGCACTTGATTTCACAATCTAGGAGCTACACAATATCCAGGTTTGAGCACATCTATGTGAATGCTTTTGAGCTGATAAAAAAGAAACTTGGGCATGCAAGTTTGTCCGTTAAATGCACACTTTGTGCACCTGATTACCTCCAGAATGTTCTCAAACTATTTTGTTTACCCCTTGATTGGAAAAACAAATTCGTTTTGACCGTTGTCTATTCATGAAAATCTCGATTCAAAGTATGCATCAGATTACGCTCCTTTAATGTAAACATAATTCTTAAAAATGAGAAAAAATAATAACAAAAGAACCATTGTTACTTTTCTTATTTTTCAAGACAGGAAATTGTGTTACAATTATAAGTTACTTCCCACAAACGTAGTCCGTTGCAGTTAAATGTTACCAAGGAAATAAACAAGTGACATGAAAACTTTACTTGCAATGTATTATACTACCTTAAAATCCCGAGAGATGCACCACCCCCGAATGTAACCCGCCCCTATTCTATGGCGGGATAAGTGAACATGCTGACTGGTAAGTACAGGGTGTCACAAAAGAAAATTTACACTGTCTTTTTTGCCGCAAAAATAAACTATGCATCGCCGAACGCTCATTTTCCGCCCAAAGGTAGAGCTAGAGGTCACAACCAGATGCCAAAGTTTCAGCCCGATCCGATAACTTAATCAAAAGTTATAAGGGATTTTCTGAAAAGTTCAATGGGAAAATGGAGCCCATTTTCGCCAGTTTTCGGTTTCTGGTGCCATAGAGCCCCATGTGTTTGAGAACTCCGTCAGCCGCTATTTTCCCATTGAAATTTTCAGAAAATCACTCCTTTTAATTAAGTTATCGGATCGGACTGAAACTTTGGCATCTGGTTGTGACCTCTAGCGCTACGTTTGGGTGGAGACTGAGCATTCAGCGATGCCTAGTTTATTTTTGCGGTAAAAAAGACAGTGTAAATTTTCTTTTGTGACACCCTGTACAGCCGTCCTTACTTTATTTCCTCTCGCCGTGACAAGAAGCTTGGCAGAAAGACATGGTCTAAAAATAGTGTTTTTAAACTTTTCTTGATTGTACACGGAAAGTTAGTTCACTCCTTATTTTTACCCACTTGGCTCTCCATTCTAGGTGGGCTCTCTCTTGGGATATTACGGTACTTAAAAGCCAACATACACTTCTTGCTATCCACTTTTGCCTCCTCCTCCTTTCCTATATCCTCTCCACTTTTTATCTTGCCTCAACTTGGCTCCCCTCGCAGCTAAGGAAAGGGGAGCGCCGAGAGAATCATCTTCCCTGGAGAAAACCGAGGTTGTATGTCAGCCTTTAAGACTGCCTGCGATTGAAATGTGGCAAGTTCATCACCTACAAAAAAACCAGCAGCAGAGACAAAAGCAAGTTTTGCGCATTGTTCATACTCGGCGCGAAGTGGCTCTTATCAGATTTGGTTGTCAGAAGAAAAAGCGATGCTTTGTGTTTGGAACATGTACGCTTGATGATATATATCTTATCTAAAATTCACCTACATATATCTTAATTATCAACGTAAAGGGGAAAATTAATAATGCTCCGCGTGGAGCCGGACTTTTCTTTTACTACGGTTCTTGAGGTGAAAACGGGTATAGTAGATTTGATTCTAGCTATAGTAGCTAGATTCAAATGAATTTAGCATAGTAGGTGTGAACCCAGCCATAGTGTATAGTAACACCAGCTAGGGTCAGAAAAATGTTAGATGTGACCGATATTGCTACAACACTTGTAGAAAAAGTGACATCAGTTATATCAGTGATGCCTCCCTCTCAGAGGCATGCTAAATCTGTAGCAACTCAGACTTTTGACTTACCATAAAAAACTCACGCAAGGTTGACTCTGTACTGGAGTCGTTCAGATTGTTCAATCCTCAAATGTCTGACGTCTCGAAAAGCAAGCTGTCTTTTCTGAAAAGCAAGACATACACAAGACTGTCAGAGTGCCAATTTAAGCAAGTGAGAGTAGCTTAAATCACAGTTAGCACTGGACATGCAAAGAAGTCCTGCAGAGCAAGCATGTCTGTAGGAGGCTGCCAGAGATCAGCCAACTTGTGCCCTGAAAAACCTCTACAAAACAAAAATGAACCATGCAGTTCCATTTCGAAGTTAACTCATAATCTGCTAAATAATGTATTGGAAAAAAAAAGGCTTAATACATGCTCAAAGTGGGGTTTTGGAGGCATCTATGGTACATGTGACCGATACTGCTACAACACTTGTAGAAAAAGTGACATCAGTTATATCTGTTCAATCTGTAGCAACTCAGAATTTTGACTTACCATAAAAAAAACTCAAGCACGGTTGACTCTGTACTGGAGTCGTTTATATCGTTCAATCCTCAAATGTCTGACGTCTCGAAAAGCAAGCTGTCTTTTCTGAAAAGCAAGACATACACAAGACAGTCAGAGTGCCAATTTAAGCAAGTGAGAGTAGCTTAAATCACAGTTAGCACTGGACATGCAAAGTAGTCCTGCAGAGCAAGCATGTCTGTAGGAGGCTGCCAGAGATCAGCCAACTTGTGCCCTGAAAAACCTCTACAAAACAAAAATGAACCATGCAGTTCCATTTCGAAGTCAACTCATAATCTGCTAAATAATGTATTGGAAAAAAGGCTTAATAAATGCTCAAAGTGGGGTTTTGGAGGCATCTATGGTACATGTGACCGATACTGCTACAACACTTGTAAATTCAAATTCAAATTTGGGGGTTTTACGTGCCAAACCTACGACGGGCATCTGGCACGCCCCAGCGGAGGACTGAGGATTAATTTGGACCACCTGGGGGTCTTTTGACGTGCAACCGAAAGCTTGGTTACACGGTGCCTTCTCACAACACTTGTAGAAAAAGTGACATCAGTTATATCAGTGATGCCTCCCTCTCAGAGGCATGCTAAATCTGTAGCAACTCAGACTTTTGACTTACCATAAAAAACTCACGCAAGGTTGACTCTGTACTGGAGTCGTTCAGATTGTTCAATCCTCAAATGTCTGACGTCTCGAAAAGCAAGCTGTCTTTTCTGAAAAGCAAGACATACACAAGACTGTCAGAGTGCCAATTTAAGCAAGTGAGAGTAGCTTAAATCACAGTTAGCACTGGACATGCAAAGAAGTCCTGCAGAGCAAGCATGTCTGTAGGAGGCTGCCAGAGATCAGCCAACTTGTGCCCTGAAAAACCTCTACAAAACAAAAATGAACCATGCAGTTCCATTTCGAAGTTAACTCATAATCTGCTAAATAATGTATTGGAAAAAAAAGGCTTAATACATGCTCAAAGTGGGGTTTTGGAGGCATCTATGGTACATGTGACCGATACTGCTACAACACTTGTAGAAAAAGTGACATCAGTTATATCTGTTCAATCTGTAGCAACTCAGAATTTTGACTTACCATAAAAAAAACTCAAGCACGGTTGACTCTGTACTGGAGTCGTTTATATCGTTCAATCCTCAAATGTCTGACGTCTCGAAAAGCAAGCTGTCTTTTCTGAAAAGCAAGACATACACAAGACAGTCAGAGTGCCAATTTAAGCAAGTGAGAGTAGCTTAAATCACAGTTAGCACTGGACATGCAAAGTAGTCCTGCAGAGCAAGCATGTCTGTAGGAGGCTGCCAGAGATCAGCCAACTTGTGCCCTGAAAAACCTCTACAAAACAAAAATGAACCATGCAGTTCCATTTCGAAGTCAACTCATAATCTGCTAAATAATGTATTGGAAAAAAGGCTTAATAAATGCTCAAAGTGGGGTTTTGGAGGCATCTATGGTACATGTGACCGATACTGCTACAACACTTGTAAATTCAAATTCAAATTTGGGGGTTTTACGTGCCAAACCTACGACGGGCATCTGGCACGCCCCAGCGGAGGACTGAGGATTAATTTGGACCACCTGGGGGTCTTTTGACGTGCAACCGAAAGCTTGGTTACACGGTGCCTTCTCACAACACTTGTAGAAAAAGTGACATCAGTTATATCAGTGATGCCTCCCTCTCAGAGGCATGTTAAAACTGTAGCAACTCCGACTTTTGGCTTACCATAAAAAACTCACGCAAGGTTGACTCTGTACTGGAGTCGTTTATATCGTTCAATCCTCAAATGTCTGACGTCTCGAAAAGCAAGCTGTCTTTTCTGAAAAGCAAGACATACACAAGACTGTCAGAGTGCCAATTTAAGCAAGTGAGAGTAGCTTAAATCACAGTTAGCACTGGACATGCAAAGCAGTCCTGCAGAGCAAGCATGTCTGTAGGAGGCTGCCAGAGATCAGCCAACTTGTGCCCTGAAAAACCTCTACAAAACAAAAATGAACCATGCAGTTCCATTTCGAAGTCAACTCATAATCTGCTAAATAATGTATTGGAAAAAAGGCTTAATAAATGCTCAAAGTGGGGTTTTGGAGGCATCTATGGTACATGTGACCGATACTGCTACAACACTTGTAAATTCAAATTCAAATTTGGGGGTTTTACGTGCCAAACCTACGACGGGCATCTGGCACGCCCCAGCGGAGGACTGAGGATTAATTTGGACCACCTGGGGGTCTTTTGACGTGCAACCGAAAGCTTGGTTACACGGTGCCTTCTCACAACACTTGTAGAAAAAGTGACATCAGTTATATCAGTGATGCCTCCCTCTCAGAGGCATGCTAAATCTGTAGCAACTCAGACTTTTGACTTACCATAAAAAACTCACGCAAGGTTGACTCTGTACTGGAGTCGTTTATATCGTTCAATCCTCAAATGTCTGACGTCTCGAAAAGCAAGCTGTCTTTTCTGAAAAGCAAGACATACACAAGACTGTCAGAGTGCCAATTTAAGCAAGTGAGAGTAGCTTAAATCACAGTTAGCACTGGACATGCAAAGAAGTCCTGCAGAGCAAGCATGTCTGTAGGAGGCTGCCAGAGATCAGCCAACTTGTGCCCTGAAAAACCTCTACAAAACAAAAATGAACCATGCAGTTCCATTTCGAAGTTAACTCATAATCTGCTAAATAATGTATTGGAAAAAAGGCTTAATACATGCTCAAAGTGGGATTTTGGAGGCATCTATGTTACATGTGACCAATACTGCTACAACACTTGTAGAAAAAGTGACATTAGTTATATCTGTTCAATCTGTAGCAACTCAGACTTTTGACTTACCGTAAAAAAAACTCAAGCACGGTTGACTCTGTACTGGAGTCGTTTATATCGTTCAGTCCTCAAATGTCTGACGTCTCGAAAAGCAAGCTGTCTTTTCTGAAAAGCAAGACATACACAAGACTGTCAGAGTGCCAATTTAAGCAAGTGAGAGTAGCTTAAATCACAGTTAGCACTGGACATGCAAAGTAGTCCTGCAGAGCAAGCATGTCTGTAGGAGGCTGCCAGAGATCAGCCAACTTGTGCCCTGAAAAACCTCTACAAAGCAAAAATGAACCATGCAGTTCCATTTCGAAGTTAACTCATAATCTGCTAAATAATGTATTGGAAAAAAGGCTTAATACATGCTCAAAGTGGGATTTTGGAGGCATGTATGTTACATGTGACCGATACTGCTACACTTGTAGAAAAAGTGACATTAGTTATATCTGTTCAATCTGTAGCAACTCAGACTTTTGACTTACCGTAAAAAAAACTCAAGCACGGTTGACTCTGTACTGGAGTCGTTTATATCGTTCAATCCTCAAATGTCTGACGTCTCGAAAAGCAAGCTGTCTTTTCTGAAAAGCAAGACATACACAAGACAGTCAGAGTGCCAATTTAAGCAAGTGAGAGTAGCTTAAATCACAGTTAGCACTGGACATGCAAAGTAGTCCTGCAGAGCAAGCATGTCTGTAGGAGGCTGCCAGAGATCAGCCAACTTGTGCCCTGAAAAACCTCTACAAAGCAAAAATGAACCATGCAGTTCCATTTCGAAGTCAACTCATAATCTGCTAAATAATGTATTGGAAAAAAGGCTTAATAAATGCTCAAAGTGGGGTTTTGGAGGCATCTATGGTACATGTGACCGATACTGCTACAACACTTGTAAATTCAAATTCAAATTTGGGGGTTTTACGTGCCAAACCTACGACGGGCATCTGGCACGCCCCAGCGGAGGACTGAGGATTAATTTGGACCACCTGGGGGTCTTTTGACGTGCAACCGAAAGCTTGGTTACACGGTGCCTTCTCACAACACTTGTAGAAAAAGTGACATCAGTTATATCAGTGATGCCTCCCTCTCAGAGGCATGCTAAATCTGTAGCAACTCAGACTTTTGACTTACCATAAAAAACTCACGCAAGGTTGACTCTGTACTGGAGTCGTTTATATCGTTCAATCCTCAAATGTCTGACGTCTCGAAAAGCAAGCTGTCTTTTCTGAAAAGCAAGACATACACAAGACTGTCAGAGTGCCAATTTAAGCAAGTGAGAGTAGCTTAAATCACAGTTAGCACTGGACATGCAAAGAAGTCCTGCAGAGCAAGCATGTCTGTAGGAGGCTGCCAGAGATCAGCCAACTTGTGCCCTGAAAAACCTCTACAAAACAAAAATGAACCATGCAGTTCCATTTCGAAGTTAACTCATAATCTGCTAAATAATGTATTGGAAAAAAGGCTTAATACATGCTCAAAGTGGGATTTTGGAGGCATCTATGTTACATGTGACCAATACTGCTACAACACTTGTAGAAAAAGTGACATTAGTTATATCTGTTCAATCTGTAGCAACTCAGACTTTTGACTTACCGTAAAAAAAACTCAAGCACGGTTGACTCTGTACTGGAGTCGTTTATATCGTTCAGTCCTCAAATGTCTGACGTCTCGAAAAGCAAGCTGTCTTTTCTGAAAAGCAAGACATACACAAGACTGTCAGAGTGCCAATTTAAGCAAGTGAGAGTAGCTTAAATCACAGTTAGCACTGGACATGCAAAGTAGTCCTGCAGAGCAAGCATGTCTGTAGGAGGCTGCCAGAGATCAGCCAACTTGTGCCCTGAAAAACCTCTACAAAGCAAAAATGAACCATGCAGTTCCATTTCGAAGTTAACTCATAATCTGCTAAATAATGTATTGGAAAAAAGGCTTAATACATGCTCAAAGTGGGATTTTGGAGGCATGTATGTTACATGTGACCGATACTGCTACACTTGTAGAAAAAGTGACATTAGTTATATCTGTTCAATCTGTAGCAACTCAGACTTTTGACTTACCGTAAAAAAAACTCAAGCACGGTTGACTCTGTACTGGAGTCGTTTATATCGTTCAATCCTCAAATGTCTGACGTCTCGAAAAGCAAGCTGTCTTTTCTGAAAAGCAAGACATACACAAGACAGTCAGAGTGCCAATTTAAGCAAGTGAGAGTAGCTTAAATCACAGTTAGCACTGGACATGCAAAGTAGTCCTGCAGAGCAAGCATGTCTGTAGGAGGCTGCCAGAGATCAGCCAACTTGTGCCCTGAAAAACCTCTACAAAGCAAAAATGAACCATGCAGTTCCATTTCGAAGTCAACTCATAATCTGCTAAATAATGTATTGGAAAAAAGGCTTAATAAATGCTCAAAGTGGGGTTTTGGAGGCATCTATGGTACATGTGACCGATACTGCTACAACACTTGTAAATTCAAATTCAAATTTGGGGGTTTTACGTGCCAAACCTACGACGGGCATCTGGCACGCCCCAGCGGAGGACTGAGGATTAATTTGGACCACCTGGGGGTCTTTTGACGTGCAACCGAAAGCTTGGTTACACGGTGCCTTCTCACAACACTTGTAGAAAAAGTGACATCAGTTATATCAGTGATGCCTCCCTCTCAGAGGCATGTTAAAACTGTAGCAACTCCGACTTTTGGCTTACCATAAAAAAACTCAAGCACGGCTGACTCAGTACTGGAGTCGTTCAGATCGTTCAATCCTCAAATGTCTGACGTCTCGAAAAGCAAGCTGTCTTTTCTGAAAAGCAAGACATACACAAGACTGTCAGAGTGCCAATTTAAGCAAGTGAGAGTAGCTTAAATCACAGTTAGCACTGGACATGCAAAGTAGTCCTGCAGTGCAAGCATGTCTGTAGGAGGCCGCCAGAGATCAGCCAACTTGTGCCCTGAAAAACCTCTACAAAACAAAAGGAGAGAACCATGAAGTTTCACTTACTTCAAAGCTTAAAAACTACTATTATATAATAATAAACTTGAATATCAAGCAAATAATTATTTTGTACGAGGGCAAGGGGCAAAGAAGTTGCAAGGGGGTACTTCATAAAATGGCAAGGTGCCGGCTGCCGTAATTAAACAGATCCAGGCTCCTCGTAACACAGGATATGAATAGCATACCATGTCGGCCACATTTGCTTTGATGCCTTAGCACTCATTGCATGCGTGCATCAACCTTCACCGGTTTACAGCAGCCTATCACAGCGAAGCATCTTTAGCTCTGTGGGCTGATTTTACAGATCAACCATCTTTGGTTACAATCATAGAATGACCCCTATTTTTAAATAAACGAGTTGAAAAAAATAAGTTTGTTTATATTTGAATACAGTTTCTTGATTTCTGTGTCGGGTTATGCGAGTAGTTTCGGTTGCTTTTCCATACTGGTATGTCCTGCAGCATTCTCAAAGTTCGAAAATGTGTAAAATTTCAGAATAGTCTTCAACTTATGTATAAACAAAATATGGCATGTGCTTTGGCGTTCGAAAGCTTTGAATTTTCCCAAATCCCTTTGTTACATTTCTCAAAAGTGTGGCATCAACCACATTAAAGTTGTCTTACACGTAGTGGCATGCTAGACGTGTAGGAACTCAAATTTTCACTTACCATTAAAAAACACCGATGGAAGGGATGTCTGCAGAAACTTCATTTGAAGCTCTTCAACAGTTTTAGTATCTTGGGATGAACCGTTGTCCGCTTCGCTGACCCCGTTCTTTTCGACCCCCTGTCAGGGTTGATTTGGACAATTTGTCTAGGAGAAGATATGTCATCATCTAACATTAATGGCATTCCTGCTCCATGCATGGTGCACGTTAAAGACCCCAGACTAGCTGTTTTACTCCACTGGCTAAATTGCTCATCTACAGCGGGGCGACTCGTCGCCCGTTAAGGCAGACCAAGTTTTGGGCTGTATAAACACACACAACCCCCCCCCCCCCCAATGTTTATACTCAACCTGGTGCAGGCAAAGCCAATTTTTTTCTACTCTCAGTTCAGTTTATAGTAGTGCTGAATATGCTTAGCCTGAAAGACTATGAACAGACACACAGGCTATACAAGGTAACCATGTTTCCGTGCCTTCGAAGTTACTGCTTAATGGCAACCAGCGTTCACATGTTATAAATCTGTTATAAAAATGCATCAGCATAATTATTTGTAAAATTAAAACAGCTCAAATGTTTGTGCAAGTTGTGATGAGGGGCATTACAACACAATGAATAAAAGGGTGATATAGAGTATGTCGGCATATCTGGACTTCAGGCATTTCGAGATTTTCTCACCGTTGAATGAACTCGAGCGTGGCCGAGGCTTCCTTTGGATAGGCAAGATTTAAAACATAGAAGGTTCCAAACTGGAGGCATAATGCCTCCAAGAATGGCATCGGCTCATCAAACATTGTCTGATGCTCTGTTACAAGAAAGCAGTCATCTTTGAAGACACCTCCTGAAAAAATATGCACTTGCATCTCAGACAATATGTATGAAGGGGAACGGTAGCTTTGCTCCTTACAAACAGTCTGACTAAGGAGCTCAAGATTAATGCATACAGTATTTACACATATTTCGAAATAAGCTTACCAATAGCAACGACGACTGGGGTGGGGGGCAGCTCATCAATCTTGTCTGCAAGGACACAGCCTTCCTAAAAAATAGAATAAACAAAAAACAATATTAGTTTTATGAAAGAGAAATTTCAGGGTATGATGATAATTTACAACTGGATGCTATAGCTGCTTACTTCAAAGATGTGAAAAAGCGACCTTGTTTCCTCCTTGAAGTAGGATGCCAGGATGGGTACAAACACTTTCTCCTTAGCCCTGGCATCACCACGCTCCTCTGCAACTTGTCCACGTGCCATCCAGTGCATGATTTCCCTGCTTGGCTTGGCTGTGAGGTGGTCCATCAGGGTGTTTGTACAGGAGGTCACCCCTTCATCAAAACACTTCTGAAATTATAAAAAAATGACTAAGTAACATAAAAAAGGCTATTAATTCATTTTACCTTGAAGTCCTTCCCAAGAAGTTTATCAATGTGCTGGTGATACAGTGGCTTGTGAAACAGCAGCGGCCATTCTTCTTTTAACTGCTGCGTAGAACACAGCGGTTCCCTTGAGTTTATCACTGTTCTCAGCGCAGCATATGTTGAATCCATGGCCTCTCTGGCCAACGTCAAGTCAACCTCTCTTGGTGACTTTAACGCTTCTTGTTTCATCCACTCTTTGGTCTTCTTTATTTCCTCTCCATTACCCTCACTGCTGTTAGGCTGCCAATTCACACAACCATAGGAAAACCTTGCATTTCTTCTTTTTGGAACAGGAAAGTCTCCTGCCTCAAGCAATGCAGCTTTCATTCCTCTATTTACGTTTTCAACACGGCTCTCTAGCTGCTGAAATAATGAGTCAAATCCTCTGCCCATGACCTTGCCATCGATCCCATGGTCTTCCAAAGATGCTGGAAACCTTTCCACTATTTCTTTGGCTACACTTGTAATGAGCTCTCGTTGTGGTCTACAAGTGAGCTTCAGCATGTCATTCACAACTACTCTCACTAGCTCGAGACGATCCCTTGATGCCAAAGGCCTGCCCGCTTCGAGTGCATTCACGGCAGCCTTCGACAGGGAGTCGAGTCGGAGTTTGAAGCTTGCTGTCAGTTCTGGAGATGGAGCAGCTTCATTCAGAAGTGAATCTTGCAAACCGGATGTACCTGTCGAGGCAAGATTTCTAAATCCTGGTTCAACATAAAAATTTCTTAAGTTAGCAAGAGGCACGGCAACCTTTCTGCATGCCCAACATTATGCCGTTAGCATAGTAATATTTCAATCAGAGGAGGCCAATTAAAAAAGCGTCATGGCAAACTCTGAAAAGCTAAGAGCAATGTAACAAACTACTTCTTGTATATTTGAAAATTTGGGGCAGTCTAAATGAAAATAAATTATCAATCTAAAACGATTAAGCCTAATGATAAATGTTTTATAGACTTGGCCCAATCCTGGTACTAGTAATACACCCCTTTCAAATGCACGCCCTGTTAGAAGCGGTGAAAGCCCTTCCCAATGGCGAACACAAGACACCATCAATCATCATCATCACCTATCTTCTTAAATGTAGGAATCCTATAAATACTACTAATACCACTTTTGGTCATCAAATGTTTTTAATGTTCCACTATTGTGCATTTGTTCAGACCTTCTAGCAATCAACAAGTGGCTTTTAAAAACGAGTTTAAAATGTTGAAAGCCTCTTCAAAGCAAGAAAGCCAAACTCGCCTCCTACATTGCCCGACGGCTTTACTTGCACACAATCTTGACATTCAATAAAAATTCGCTGATCAATTGGCAGCTCTCTAGTAGCCCATAGGTAGGAAAGCCAAACTCACCTGCTGCAGTGTTTGATGGCATTACTTGTGGACCATCTTCACATACAATAAAATTCGCTGATCAATTGGCAGCTCTCTAGTAGCCCATAGGTAGGAAAGCCAAACTCACCTGCTTCAGTGTTTGATGGCATTACTTGTGGACCATCTTCACATACAATAAAAATTCTCTGGTCAACGGGTAGCTCTCCAAGTAGCTCTGTGAATATTTCATCATCTACCTCAGTCCAGTCCTGAAGAAACACCTGTTTAGATAAAGTGCACAAAATTATTTTTTGTCTCGAGTAAATGTATAAACATAAAAAAGTGAGAACCTTACCCTTGCTTTCTCTGACACACAGATACCTTTTTCAAGTGCAACTGTTTTGATGGCATGGAGCGTAGTCACATTCCCCATTTTTTTTATTGTAAAGTCCCGATTCCAGATTTTTACCACTGGCATCTCCTGTAAAAAAACAGAAAACATGTCATTACATCCCAAAACACTTTTTTGTGATCTGTATTTGAAAATTTATGTGCTTGCTGACAAGCCTGTTCATATTCATTTTGCAAAGACAAGTGCTTCAAAAAGCACTAAAATGCACATACATGTAACGCCTGTTGATCTAAACACATCCTGTATTGTATTTCTTGCGTACGCTCCGCAACCTGTATGTGTGGGCAAGCAAAGCCTTCCTGGCCAGTTTCACCCTGTCACAACAAACCAATAAGCACTACAGCAGCAGAATAATAGAAGTATTTAATTACTTTCTTTGGAGGTATATCATGTCCCCAAAAGCAGATGTCTGATGCATAGACTGAAGTAGCAAGGCATCACAATCAAGGGAAACTCAGTCCTTTGACTGAAGCAAGGCAGGCACACAAAACAAAAAAGTATTTCAACATTGTAATATCAATGCAGGGGAACTTATCCTACCAGCTGTGCACCCTTGACACAATCCACGAAGCAGTCACAGAACTGCAGGAAAACTAAAATTCAGCCTTATTACAGAATTGGACCCGAAAAAGTATGGTCTGTGAGGCACTGGATCGAGCAGCTGATCTGGGTGCAGATGAACAACCTCACCTGCCTGCTTGTGCAACTTATATAAAGAAACATGGGGTAAAAAAGTTGCAGCAACGTGCCGAAGTATGAAGGTTACCACACCTAAATTGTCAGCCACAATTGCCAAGATAAGTCCGAAACATACATCAAATCGAGTGCCTGAAAGAATCACATAGTCATTCAGAGCGTAGGTCGTGCCCTTTATAACCACTTTAAGGCACAACGAGGCATTTTCAAACATTTCAGGATTTTGCGAAACAAAGGCCTGGAAGTGAAGCAGTTGAGATGCTTCATCATGAGCTTTCATGTAATCATGCTCATCCACTTTAAACAACCCCCGAGATGACAGGTATGACTGAAACAGCTGATGCCTCTCACTTAAAGACTTTGTTACATTCTTGAAGTTGCTCATGGAGCGAATGCAGTCCTTAAAGTAGCGATGTTTGCTTTCAAACCTAAGTGTCCAGACATGACACAAAGGGCCGAATTCCTGAATCAGATCGCCGTAGTGCATCATGTAATGATGTTTTGGCCGTAGTTTGACCTCTGGAAATTTCACCTGGCGATGATAAAGGTAGCTTCCAGTTAAAACCTTTAAATAACAAACTTGTGCCTCTGTTATCTTTGGGGCCATCACCAAATCTACAAGCTCCATGAGCTCAAGAGTGAGTTGCCACACACTATCCTTGGCATCTAGCACTTTCGTGCTGACAAACAAGGGCAGGAGCCTTAAGAACGTCCAATTCTGGACTGCATGCCCTGTGATTTTGCCAACTTTGCTGTTTAGTTTTGCTGGTTTGTTCTTCAGGTCATTTGCATTGTACTTAAAAGTAGCAATCCTGTTGTTCAAGTATTCGTATGTTAACCAGCCCTTTGTTTTCACAAAGTACCTGACATACAATGCTAAGTCATACCGCACAATCCCCTCAAGAATATCATGTCCAACACATGGGGGTAAGCCAGATTTGCAAACATGAAAGTCTTGCAGAATGTTGAAAGGTGAATCGCATGTTACACCATGTCTCTCACGTTCACAAGGATTTTGCTCGAGGTAAGCAAGGCATGCCTTGTAAGAGTCAACAGTACGCTTTTGGGCAATAACTTCTGCATCCTTTTCGAATTCAGCACGGCTGACCTCGCAAAACCTGCAAAAATATTTAGAGCTACTAAAATTTTCTGTAAAGCCCCCGATGGCGTGGCTCCCCAAGTTATCTCCTGCAATGAAACTGAGCTTCACCTTGTACATTTTCCCTTCAAACTCTAGTCCAGAGCCCTCTAGGCGACTTAAATCATTAATTAAAGGCTGAAACACACGCTTCTGACCGAACTCTTTCAGATCTTTCTCTCGACAAAGCAGTACTAACTGCATACTCTCAACAACACCTCTGTAATGCTGTGGCAAGTTGCCCAATGTCATGTAAACCCCCAACAGTTTAAAATTTCCTTTTGCTGACCCCAAAGGGTTGGCAAGCTCAAAAGCATCCTGATATAAAATTATCTGCAGTGTGTCTCGATGCGTGTCTTGAAATGCAGAGCAAGTAGTAAAATCTGTAAAAAACCCAGCAGTAGCATTTGCACGAAAGTGCATGGTTCCACCTTTCATCAGTTGTCTGAGTGAGCCTTCAATGTTCACATAATGAAATACTGAGCAGGAGTTTTGCCTGTTGATCCCAAGAGATATCTCAGCTGGCTTTACATATTCAAAGTGTGTCTTAAAGTGTTTATGCCTCATGTGTGTTGACCTCATGTCCCCTGATGTTAGGGAATTTAACTCATCATTCATAAAACCTGCCCGCACACTCTTCATAGTGTCTTCAGGCAAGGACTTAGAAAGCTCTTGTAGAACTCGCTCTTGGCTAAGGGAATGAAGGTTTGCAATCTCCTTTTGAATGTACAGCACGGTTTTCGCTGGGATATGAAACTGTGTTTCCAACTTCAGCATAAACAGTGCAACATTTTTTTTTAAGAGTTCACTGTCTGTAAGCTCACTGCTATGAGCACTTGCACTTCCATGGCTCATATCCTCAACTAGTTCTTCGAAGTCCCGACCTGAAACTTCTTCATTATCATGCCCTGCCGTAGCTGCAGATGCACGATGGAATTGCAAACCAACCCTGTTTGCGCGATGATACCTCGAGACATGGTTTCTCAGAGACTGCGATGTTCGTAATTTCGAGACACATCCAGGGAAAGGGCAAACAAGTGGAGCGTTTTCAGATCTTAAATGCTCTGCAAGGTGACCAATTAGCTTGGCTTGAGTCTCCATCTGCTTTGAACAGGACAAAACAGGGCAAGTTAGAACAAGAGGCTGAGCGTATGTTTGCACAGGTCTGTGGGTTCTGCTGAGATGACTGGTAAAACTTGAGTAGTTTTTGAATGTCGCGCTGCACAGTTGTGATGTACATAAAGCCCCATTCGTAATGCTGCTGTGGTATCGATGGTGGTCGAAATAGGATTGTAACGTTTCAAATCGATGTCAGCAAAGTCGGCAGCAATGCATGTTGCAATCCTCACGAAGCACTTCCGAAATTTGGGCTGCAACAAAGACAATGCTATATTTAAACATCATAAAGAGGTTGAATTAAGTTATACACATCATAGAGAGCTGCCAATGAAAAGGCGGTCTTGCATTACCTGTAAAATACAACAATATGCGGAAGGCTACATGCACATCATGTTTGCTTGCAGACATTTTCATCAAGGATGTGCCACTACCATGCGTCTTCAGTGTACTGTGCTTATTCATAGCATGTGTCCAAGGAGCAGTGGTCTGTATGTAGTTCACAGAAGGTACAAGTGATTTATTTTAGCAGTGAGGCACTGAGTGATATTGATATTGAGGTTATTAAGTGTCAGTATGGCACACTGCCGTCACTCAGTAGTGCCCCTGCAAAGCTTCATGCATGTGTGAAAAGACATCCCCGGTTCTTAAGGGGATACTTTAACAAAATTTGAAATATACCCGTCGTGTTCAGAAATGGGCCGAGTGTGATCCAGAATATCCGAAAATGACAATCGCACGTTTGTATTTTGAGCCTGATGGCTGATTTTTGTATTATAAACAGATTACTCTGGAAGCGGAGAGCATGTGACAACCGACGCAATCGTGATGTAAACTGCCTCGGGGAAAAGCTGCGGCAAGGCTATCGTCGACAGGATGCCCTAGTTGTTCCAGCCACCGAAGTGGCTGAAGCACGCCAGCGATCGGGCCACCGCAACTAAATTGTGTTGCTTGTATGTTTAGACAGCCTTGATGCTAGTACACCTCAACAAGTGACTTGTCTCTAAGCTGTAGATGAGAAATTCAGGCACTACAGTACAACCGCTAACCTGGGGTCTTTAACACTGCGTTAGTGATTACACGAACGTGTGCCGGTACGAAACTCAACCAGATCGAAACGGGCAGGGGCTGGGGATCGAAACCAGAAGGTTTTGCAGTGCAAGCTTTCGGTCCACGCTCCGAGCTGAGACGTGTTAGCCCATTCGGCCACCGATCCCCAGGCCACCGCAACTAACTGCAAAGCTGTTTTTTTTTTACAAATTTTGAGTGAAGGTTAATCTTCTATAACCTGCACAGGGACAATAGCAATGTCTAGGACACACAAAAAAGAGTCCCGATAAGGGGAGGGAGTTCCTCCTTCCCCTTTTTTCTCATGGTGGCAGGAGAGCTGGCGAGGTGACGTCAGGCTCAAGGCATCTATAGTTCAAGGAGGCAGGCATCGGGCTAACGTCAGGTTCAAGGCATGTATAGTTCAAGGAGAGGCAGGCATCGTCACTTCCTGTCAAGGTTCCTAGACGGGCATTACGAACAAGGCTAGAGCAACATCCACTAGGTGCCTTTTGCTAATCGTTTAATTCTTATTAAAATTCCTTTTCCTGTCTTTTTCAAGAAGAGATTGGTATGTCCGACGTAATACCGCTCCTTTGAACACGTACAAACCAAGAAATAAGCACCAAAATTTCATTGTAGTATCCCTTTAAAGCTTGTAAGACTCTACTGGTATTTACACTGTTTCCTGTCAATGCAAAAAAAAAAATTAAGGAGGTTTTCGGGTTCATCATTTATTCATCCTGCATGTAAAATACACTCACTGATCGAAGTGAGACTGGCACAGTTGAAGACGTCTTAGCAAGACTTTTCATTTAATGCTAAACACATCCAGGTCATGACTTGAAATGGTGCCGTGACATAAAACACAATTGACTCAAGCCACACATTTTTGGCACTTGTGTATTCGAATAGAGCTGCATGTGACCAGTTGTTTGTAACCAAACACAACCTACAGGAAACCAGCCTAGTTGCCAAAATAAATTTCCAGAAATTAGCCCAGGTCAATTTATGACACACACTAAAATGGCTCACGTGGCCAAGCAGGATTTTTTGTACACATACCAGGGTGCCTCACTCGACCTTTCCAACCAAATTTGGAAGTTAGGCCCCCTATTTAACCTGTGCCAAAATTCAGTATTGCAAAAAAGAACCTTTGCATTATGTTGGGCTTTGTCAGCCGAGCCGGTGGCTGAGTAAGAACTTACTCCTTTATTGTTTCCACAATCGCCGTCTTCGGGCTTCGGGCGAGCCTGCTCATATGTAGAGCCCTGCGTGGATAACAATTCGATCAACCTCATCCGATCCGCAGACTTTGTATCCGCATCCGCAATGTTCTTAAATAATTGTATCCGCATCCGATCCGCATCTGCAGACTAAGTATCCGCATCCGAACTGCATCTGCAAGATTCGGAACCGTATCCGACTCTCGATTTGCGCATTCATTTTACATAATAAAATCAAGCATTAATAAAACTTAAAAAAAAAAAGATCTGGATGGTGTCCTATTAGTCGCCCGCTTACCTTTCTACAAAGAACTTTTTGTGTAAGAATACCGTGAAAGTCATATTACCATATTCTGTTTTATCGTATTTATAAAATATGCAATCATTCTTCCAGAGGCACTTCGCATCGCTCGAGGGATGATCGCAATTATGGGATCTTCTTGGGGGTCCGTGACACTGACACTGTCCAGTATATGTGCTCAAAAGGAACAACATAAATTTATTATTCTTTTTATTTTGTAAAACCCACTTCAAGCAGGCACATATTTTATAAACATGAAAATTGTCAAAGTTCAGACTAATAACATTGTGTCAACTTTTTTAGGCCAAACAGCAAAAAAGTGAGAGGAAAGGCGCTCACTCTCCGCAGCAAAACACTCATATGTGCGGTAAGGCACGAGTACACCGCTGGGAAAATATCTCAACATTCAAAAATAGCAACACCTCCAATCGGTCACAGTTTTAAACACGACTCCTCAACTGCATGCTCGGAACCATATATTTTAAAACAACTCAGTTCCAACTGTCGAAAAAAAGAAAACGCACACACACGCAACATTTCACTTGTCGAGGTTGTTGTGTAGAAGAAACAGAATATTGTCAACTCGGACGGATGCAGACTGGTTCACCTTTCTTAAATTAATACGTGCTAATGAGAAATCTCTCTTCATTGGTGCACTAGATGCTGGGGTGGTATGCACAAACTGCTCTACAAGAGTGAGGTACGGAAACTCGCGCTGGCACAAGTTCCACCACTCCAGAGAATTGATTCAGACTCCTCGATAAATACTAGTAGGCAAAGAAGGCACCTTGCAAGTTTCTTCTGCATTATTGTGGCTTGTACGTTTTAGATTTTTTTTTTCGGAATGTTTTTTGCTTTTTTGCTGCCAAAGAAGAACACACATCCCGGCACGACTGATGCTCCTGCATTCTTTGCTTTTTCTAGGGACAGCATTTTTGGCGAGATAGAATGTTATGAAATGAAATTTATCTTTTTTTTTTTTTTTTTTTGAAGGCATTGGAAGGAGATTGAAATAAAGAAAAAGGGGGGGGGGGGGTACATTTTTGGGAAAGTCGGGGATAAGTAAGTACAAAACGAGCGTGTTGGTAACAGTAATTAAACATGAGGAAGTACATAGAAGGGGGGACGGACGGCTAGTGGCACAAACTGTATGGCTTTGAGATTACTTTGCCGCGCATTTTGGCTCACTGGGTGGGCCTCCCCATGTGTTTTCGAGGTTTGCGTTTACGTCGCTGAGTGCTGCTTTGCTTGTGTACAATTCGATGGCGGGGGGCAAGGAAGCGTTGGCGGGGGGCAAGGAAGCGTTGCGAGAAAGTTGGGGGATTAGCAGTGTGACAGTGGAGGATGATAAGTCAACTGCGTGGACGCGCTCAAGGACTCTGTGGCGCCTAGCGCATGTGGATGGCTGTGTGTGCGAGGAGGGCTGCTGACGTGGACTGGACGGGAGGAAGCGGCTTGACCTTCGGGACTGTGGATATCGGTTGGGGCACCGGGGGAGCTCGCCTTTTTAAACGAGTGTCTGACAAATAAACCTTCAGCTGTGTTTGAGACGTTGTGTTGTGTTCGTCCCCTTCTGTGTTCCCGAGTCTCGGGTTTTATTACCATAGAATGTTCATAAAAATCTTTAGTGCGAATCCAATGTTTATTGACGTAAATAACTATTTTCTTCCCGATAGGCACCTTTAATCCAAGAGTGTAGTTTGCTCCTGCAATACATTCGAAGATGTACTTCATAGTATTTCACTCGTTCACTCTCCACTGTGCGGTCACGTACGCTTATAAGCCACCTTGGACTTGCCGATATTTGCATCCGATCCGCATCCGCAGCCCCTGGCATCCGCATCCGATAAATCTGATTCATTTTTATTTGAATCCGCCAGTTTACTGCAAATAATCCGCGGATATGCAGGGCTCTCTACTCATATGTCACGAGCACCTCGGGTTACCCGATCTTCCCTTGGGCGACTGGCTAGCAGGCGCATCCCGTACGGGTTTCCGCCTTTCTGCTCAGCCTAGCACGTCACCTAGGGTAATTCTTTTTATGTGCAATTAAATATTCTTATTGTTATTATTATGGGGAGAGTCCTTGGGACGGCGGTATTCAGGCTCTCTTGAGTGGCACCGTGCGAGTTCCAATAAGCAGAGGTACGTGGCTCTTAATATACACATAGATTACATGATGATAAAAATTAATACAAATACGAGGGTCCGGCACCATGTTGTTGTTGTTTGGGGGGGGGGGGGGGGGGGCTGATAAATTTATCGACTGCATAACGACTGCTATACTTCGTCTCACCCTAGCATGGGCCAACCGCGAAGGCTGTGCTAGCGCGAGTGGCCAGCCTTGACTGCCTTGACTAGAAAACTTGCTGCGCGAGCGCTCGTGCAGCCGCCGCGGCTTCATTCAAAGCGACTAGCTCGCGCTTTTAGCACGCGCGGCTAACAATAGTCGATACTAAGGTGAGACGAAGTATAACCAGTCTAACGTGCATCACGCGGTAGTGATACACGACCGCGCACCTTTGCGATAGTCATCCAGATAAAAAGGCGAAGGAACGAACACATTAAGTACAAAACGAGCGTGTTCGGGTCAATAAATGTTGTTGCTAGTTGGAAGTCTTCGCTGTCCGTCCCCCTTTCTATGTATCTTCCTCATGTTTAAAAACGAACACAATTTCAGCACGGCTCGGCAAAGTGAGAAGGCTAAAGCCGGGCGAGCAACGAAGCTAAACTCGCAAAGCACACTCGGACTGTGTTGTCACGTGCTTTACTGGAACGCTCTAGTCAGCCAGCACGCGAGAATAGCCTCACGATTGCTACGAACGACAAACCGCGCGAATCGGCGAGCTCCCGACATGACACAAGGCTCAAACGAGCTACCGACTCGAGCTTTCAACTGTGAAAAAAACGTCAAACACGGACGTGAACTAAGAAGGATGCGACCGTCCTTGAACCCGAAACTTTAAAGCGACGCAACTCTGAGGTTCCGTTTCTTTCGAGGAAATAAGCATCAAAAACAGACCGCAATCAATGTTTATGAAAGGGGCAGAATAAACTCACCGTTTCGATGACAAGGAGACACCAACCAACACCTATCAAGCCCCTTGACAACAACGATACAGGGAGTTAGCAAATCCCAACCCGCCAAAACGATCGAGCGGAGATAAAGAGGCACAGATGGCACAGATATCTGCCGGATCAGCGATATGAGGTGTGCGGCACGTGTGCGGGGTGCGCGGCGCATATGGGTAGATGAGAAGATAGTGGTAGCCTGACCGTTCTAGACAAAAAAATCTTATATCGTGCCTTTTGAATTTAGCGGTAACTAGCGCCACCTTGTTTCTAAAAGTTGACCAAACGTTGTTTGACAGTGCAATTAATTAATATTTTTAAAGCACGATAACCGTTGTTTATTGGTCATAATTAAATAAAACAATGTTCAGCTTCTTGTAAACAATTTTTGTTGTTGTTTAAACTATCGTAACTTTAGATTAACTGACAAGACATCATTATTTCAAATCACGGACGCTTCTCCGTGAATTTTAATGAGAATCTCTACGTTTTTTTACGGAACGTTTTTACCGTGTATGCAAGAGTAAAACCAACAACAATGATACCAATTTTGTTTTAGAGCGCAGCTCTTAGGGGCCCGTTCCCGGCTTGAACGGCGTCGGCGTCGCTGTCGGCGGCGTAACCAAGGTCATCCCAAGGTCACGTGACCCCCTCAAGGTCACGTGACCCTTTGAAGGTCACGTGACCCCCACGTCACGTGACCCCTCTGAGGTCACGTGACCCCCGAGGCCACGTGACCCCTCCAGGTCACGTGACCCCTCCAGGTCACGTGACCCCCTGAGGTCACGTCACCCCTCCCAAGGTCATCTCAAGGTTGATTAACAAATTGTATTTAATTATTTGACTGATCGTTACGACTAGGTCCCTATACTACGTACGCCTGGCCGTATAACTCGCCTGCACAAACCACATTAATTTAGCTTTCACGACCTTTCTAAACATATATGTAAAGCTTAAAACTAAATCGCCCTGCACAACGGTGAAAAGGCAAAACCAACAAGCTGGAGCCATATGGCTCCACCATGGTGGTATCGCCTTTTTTGCTGGTATAGGATGTCCCATATTACGTTATGCATGTATGGTTCCGTCCGCCTACATGGTTCCGCCGTAATCCACTACGCTGGTATAGGATGTCCCATAATACGACACGCTTGTATGATTCCGCCAACCTGTATCGTTCCGCCTTATTCCACTATACTGGAGCCGCCTTTTTCGCTTGTATAGGATGTCCCATATTACGGTTACGCTTGTATGAGCCTTTTCCGTCATCTTTCCATCATCGAGATTTTCCAACAGGGTTGGGCCTTTTCGAGGCTGCTCTTGTCCTACGGCATCAGCAGCGGCGGGGGAGAGACACGGGTGATTTCTTTCCTTGGCGGGCCGTGTAGAAGCAGGGCTCCAGGCCCTCCGTCTGCGTGGACGAAGAGGCAGAGGTGCTTCCACAGGAGTTGAACAGTCCCGAGCGACGTGTCCTGGGGTAGAATCCAGTCGATGTAGCTGGTGGGTCGATGTTCTGCCGGTAACTCCGACAGAATGCGTTCCCGGGCTCTGCCATAGGTCGGGCACTCCCAGACCATGTGCGAGGTGGTCGCCGGCACTGCGCAGGCTCGGCACTTGCCTTTGTTGGGATCATCGCCGAACATCTTGTGCCTGAGTGCCGGCGTGAGGGCGGTGTTGGTGATAATCCGCCTTATGGTGACCTGTGCCCTGCGGTTCAGGTCTGGAGGCATCGGTGGTATCTCTCGGTTGTGACGGCTCGCGGCGGCGGCGTCTTGTCTCAGTCGGAGGAGGATGGCTTTACGTTCCTTCTTGGCAATTGCCGCTAATTCCGCGGAGTCTGGTAAGTCGTCCGGCGGGCCAGTTTCACTCGGCGCTGGGGCGTGTCTGGGCTCTTTTGTGTTGTTGGTTGCGTCTGACACGGTTGATCTGCGCAGTGCTGCTCGTGCCTCGCTGTGAGCCCATTCGTTCGCCCGGATACCCGCGTGCGCCGGGACCCAGTCGACTCGTAGTGTGACGTTCCTGTCATGCAGTAGGCGTTTCGCGACGTCGTGAATATTTCGCACTCGTTCGCTCTGACTCTTGATTGCGTTACGGCACTCCAAATATGCCTCCCTGGAGTCCGTGTAGATAGTGATGTCAGTCACCTTTGTTCCGACGGAGTGACGTTCCTTTGCGTGTATTCCTGCTCGTAGAATGGCTCCAAGTTCGGCCCCCTTCACGCCCACACCCGGGGGCAGCGCGCACGCATCCACTTCGAGGGTGGTGGTGTTACCCCAGGCTATTGATGTTCGGAGAGGGCTTCCGGGTTCTTCCGGTGACGGCTGTTCTGCGGCTGCGTCGGTGTAGATGCAGACGTGTTTCTTTCCATCTCTGTTTTTGACAAGCTTCTCGTGCGCTGCCGGGAAACGGGATCTCCTCTCGGGATGATCGGGGCCCATGTGACTTGGGAGCGGTGCATCGTCTGTGAGATTGATTTGTCGTTCCCATGGCGGCTCTTGCACCGGGGGGATCGGCGGTGCCGGTTGTGGGAGGTCTCCCAGCTCTGCGAGAATCCTCTGCCCAACACGTGTGCTCAGTAGCCGAGTTCTCTGTGCAGACAAGAGTTGCTCGGCCACGTCGGCCAGCCTGTTCAGCCCGCCTCAAAAGCAGGGAACGTACTGTCGGGGCGCGTGCAACGTCCACTTTCCTGCACGGCCTTTGATCCGGATCCTCACGTGATCGGATCTCGGCGAATAGCGGCGCGGCGACACGTGGAAAACAGACGCGCAACTCCATAGAGTTATTATATTAAACGCTAGAGGCTCAGCTGGCTCTAGTGTCTACGGGAGTTCCGGTTGCAAATTGAAGCAGACAACATGCAGTCTACTTTCCCAGTCTTCCTGTGTATTCCTATGGGAAAACGAGCGTGAATTTTGTCTCGTCACCGGAAAATAACTTTAATAACTTTTGTTATTTCGGCTATACCGGATAGTATGTACCTTTATTAATATTGTGAAAGTGTAATTGCTTTAGTTACAACATTTTTTCTTTACCACTGAACGATGTCAAACGTCGCTATATCTCAGGGGCAAACCTCTATTCCATGGCAGGTATGTAGAAACGAGCGACGATTTTAAGCACAATAACAATCGAAAGGAATGTAGAGTCTCTTCAAAGTTCGCCAGTATTCCGTTGGTGCTTATATATTGCTAATATGCCTGTCCTCTCACTATATGAAAATGACCCCGTCGTGCATCTTTACGAGTGGTTAAACAAACGCTCTAAACGTAACGAATAAAGTACGTGGGCTACGAAAGGTGTGTTTCGTTTTCTTATTATTTCCTATGAATTGGGCAGTTTTTATCGCGCGCCTGTTCTCTGGCTTCCCCCTATTTGCAAAGATTCGGAGCGTGCGGGTGGTGATTTGAACACAGAACAAGCATCTTCGCACATATTCACGAGCAGGAAGCATAAAGCAATACTTAAATATTGCAAATCGGACTATATTACGTGACTTTCAATTTATTGGGATCATCTGCAAGCAGAGTTACTTATCCAGTGTTACTGCGTAGTTCTTGCCGTCTCTCTTCGTTTTCCACATGTCCTTCTTTCGTTTGGCACGTATATCCCCCATGCTGGAAAGCGCCGACGCCGTGTTCGCGCTAACAGTGTCCGACAGTGCACATAATTACATGTACGAAGCGGTATTAGCACCTTTTTTCATGCCACGATTTTAAAATAAAAACGCCGTAACTGACTAATTATTTCATCTGCGTGTCTGGGAAATGTTCCAATGTGCCTAGTAGGTAGGATTTATTCATGATATTTGCTCTTATAATCGAGCGCAGAGAGGAAATGCACTCGCTTTTTTCCGTAAAAATGCATTACCAGAAGTCAATTTCGGACTGCTTGCTGTCTGCTTCAATTTGCAACAGCACACTAGCGCCAGTTGAACCTCTAGCGTACATTATAATAACTCTATGCGTTACTCTGTCTTCAGTAGGGAGCCTATAGAGGAACTCTCGATGGATGGATGGATGGATGGATGAATCCGGCTGAGCCCTTTGGATCGGGCGGTAGCTTACGCCACCTAACCATTTTATTTTACTATTTAGGCTTAGAATATTTAAATGTGAAAACTATATTCACTCCGGACTGCAAAGAAAGAGAGGCTATAAAACCCAATTGCCATCAGTTAATAAGAAAATGCCTAGTTTTCTCTCGCTTTCTGCCACCATTCACTTAATCTTCGCTTGGTAATCTCTACAGTGTTGAAATCCACGATAGCTGGAAAGGTTGGCGCCATCTACCAGCGACGGCGGCAACCATACTTGTTGTGTGCTTACCACCGTCGCTTATAAAAGGCGGTAACTGTCCAGAGGCGTTCTTGTCGACAAGTGTTTTCTACCGGACACGATCCTCGGGAACCTAGCCCTTAACAGCTCCGCTGTAAAAAAATGCTCAAGAATTTTACATATGATCGATGTTAACGAGATAAGCCCATAATTACTAAACAAATTTCTGCAACCGCTTTTATGAATAGGCACAACATTTGCAGTTTTCCAATCATCTGGAACGTTGTGCTCAGATAAACGTTTTGTAAAAATGATCTGTAGATTGAACGACAGGATAGATGCGCAACTTTTAAAGACTACAGCAGGAATGCCCTCAGGACCGGTTGCTTTCGACGTATCTAGATTAAGCAGTAGATTTTCTTGTATTGAATATAGAAGATAACACTGCATCATATCCTAGATTTACCAAACGTGACGCGTCTGCAGCCTGAATCTTGACGTTGAAAACAGATTTAAAGTACTCATTTAAACAGTTCAATTTCGCAGTGTCGTCAGCGATATCAGCGCCTTTGAAAATGAGTGCCGGTATGGTAGTGCCAACCTTCTTCTTGCTCTTCACAAATCGCCAAATTTATTTTTGATTGTTAGCAAAATCGCTAGTTAACTTATAAAAAATGCACCATCACATATTTTGCAACAAGTAACTTGTACTGCAACGAAAGGCTCTTTAACCTATTTCTGTTCCTCTCTGACGTTTTTTACAGTAAATCCCGAACGCTCTGTTTCGTGGTTTTATTAGTTGTAAAATGTCTGGAGCGGCCCATGCTTTGTTGACTCCCTTCCCATCTTTAATGTTTTTGTAGGTATGTGTTTGTTCATAAGACAGTGTAGTTTCTCGCTGAATATGTTCCACGATGTTTCAGTGTCTGTAAGACCTGGCCTGTGATTGAACGCCGCTAAAAACGACCGCGGGTCCCCTGAGAGTGCAGTATAGTTTCCTTTGTTAGAGAAATAGACTTTCCTTTTATTATGGGTGTGCCTTGGTGGCCTGGGAAGAAATATTTCAGCAGTAACGGCATCATGATCACTTATTTAAAGAATTACGGTTGTGTTTTTCATGCTATCCGGGAGGTTACACATTACCCAGTCAAGAGTGTTCTTTTCCTTGTAGGCTGGGTTACATATTGTTTAAAACCGAATGTACTGACAAGAGATTCAAACTAATTGTATGAGGTCGTATTCGGCACGCTAATATTTCCATCGTCCATTGTTATTTCGGAAGGTTAAAAACACCGCCGACAATTACGAACTCATTGGGAACATTGTTAGTAATTATTTGGAGACCAGTCATTATTTCGGGACCTGATTGGGGGGGGGGGTTATAAAAAGCACCAACTAAAATTATTTTCTCTTATGTACCTGCGAGATCAAACAGATCCAGCACAACTGCCCTGAAATTGAAAGTGAGTGCTGTGCAACCCATCAGGCAATGAACAAGAACACTCCTCCGCCGTGCCAGTGACGGTCACGGTGATATATTGCGTATTCCTTTTCTTTCTTTTATAGAATCATCGAGCCATAATTCAGTTCCCATAACAATTGAGAGGTCAGTTGTTTTAATGAGGCCACATAATTCAGAGACTTTATTTTTAACGCTGCGATAGTTTACAACCAAAATTTGTATTTGCATTTCACCGTTATTTACTTTCGTAGCTGCTGGCGTAGATGACTTGCTTCATTCTGCAGTACTCTCAGCAGAGGAACGTGCTTGGTCCCAGATCTTTTGTTCTACCTCTTGCGAGGCTTGATCGTGAATAAATGTACGGTCACCAGTGCACAGCTTATGATACCGTAGATTAAAAAAAAAAAAACCTCCTGAGCTTTACCAAAGTCTAGCAGCTTTCTACGAGCAAGCCGAATTTCTGGCGCGAAGTCTTCACTTACAGCAAATGCAGAGCCTTTCAGCTTACATCACGGTGTCTTTTATTTCAAAAGAACAAAATTTAACAATGACTGGACGGTTTTTTAAGAAGCCAATGTGAAGTGCTCGCTCAATTTCAGTTGGCTTAATACTTATATGAAGCAAATCAGTGCATAATTTAATAATATGCTGCTCGGATTCCGCCCATGTCTCTTTATCCTTACTTTTAATGCCAAAGACAAAGATACTACACCTGAATGATCATATTTCCGAGTAAGCACACGTATGTTTCAAAGCAGATATTTCGTCAGTTATATCGGACAACTGCCCAATGATTGGAGATGGTCCAGTCGCGTCACTGATTTCTGTTTTTCCTTCGAGGCCTGGGACGCGTTGCTCAAGCGACGAGATTGCCGAGTCAGTTTGTTGTTGTTTTCTTTTTAACTCTGATGTCTTTTAGCACTTTTACCTGGCGTGCCTCAAGTTTTGTCATGAAAGTTGACCTTCTCTTAACCATATCGTTTACACTTGTTAACAGTTCTTCCTGTTGTGCTGTCATGGGACCTGGGGTGGTCTCTATGTCCCTGCACAACAGCATCAGTAAATGGCGAAATGATTGCATACAAGCACTGGGGTACGGCAGAAAAATTAGACAGGTCGTTACTTTTAACAGTATAAACACGCTCGCTTACTAACCTGTATGAGGAGAAGGAACGGGCAAGTGTGGTTCATCTCGGCTGTTTCGCCGTGCCCTCTGACAAACTGCAGCCACCCGGTGCCTTTTTTAGACTCTCGTGGTGGCGTCACGGTTCCTTGCACACGGTGGCCGATGGGGGTGTCGATCACAAGAAATTTTTCAAGAAAAGTCGCATTGTCACTACTGCTGGAACGTGTCGGGTGGCCACTAACTTTGAAGCAGCCAAAAGGGGTTTCCATGCGCTTGGTCCCTGGTAGCTGGCTGGCTCAGGTCTCCGCATTTCAGCCACAGACTCTGTACGAGAAGAAGGAACGGGTAAGCGTGGTTCATCGTGGTTGTTCGGCCGTGCCCTCTCCAAAATAAGAAAAAATATCCAAAATACCGTTTCAACAGTTTTTCGCTGAGGTCGTGGCGACCGAATGGGTGTCCACAGCCCCTACCATTTCTCCGAGCTGGAAGTAAGCGTCTGGACGCCGAAGTTTGTAGCGGCCAGCGTCGACACGCTGCTGGTCCTGAATCCGAAGTCGGGCGAGCAGGTGGACTTCTTCGACTCGTTGAGCAAATACCTGGGCGTCGTCGCTTCAATCGTCAGCTGGCTCGTGGGGCAGCATCGCGCCGGCATGGTCTTTACGATCATGTACAAGCTGGAAAGGTGTAACTCAAGTGGTCTCTTGAACTTTAAACACAACATTTAAACAAAAGGTCCAAACTAAATCATAATTGTAAGAGGTGTAGTTAACTTACAGAGTAATACTACAGCCTGTGCAACGCGCCATAGTGAGCCTTGAAAAGTAGGCTCCCATAGAACTTACTATGGGCAAGATACGTTGAAAAACAAACTATAAATATTACTGAATAGATTAACTGCAAAAATATTGACCTTTTAGATATCACGTTTAAAGCATTGCGTTGTTATTTCAGCACGAAGTAGATATTTCCTACGTAAAAAAATGCTTTGTAATATTATTAAACCTTGAAAGTTGTTGTGCATGTGCGCGATTCTCTCTTTCCTTCTTAATGCCTCTCCAGATACCCTTTGTTTGCATGGTTGTCACGTAATTTGAATGTGTCCCTTCTTGTTTGTTTTTCTTTGTATTTTTTCTGTTAATACTGTAAACTGTGTGGTAGGTTGATTATCATTTAGTGCTGCATAAATGCCAATGGCAGGCCTCTGGCTTTGTCAAGCTGGCCTTGTGACAGCTTTTTCTAAGAGCCTTCACTAGCCTGTACGTTGTACTTGACGGAAATAAAATAAACAGCAACAACTACTGCGGAATTGTAGGCAAACGTGAGGTAGGGTGAGATCTCGTACCACGTCGTGTGCTTCACGTCGACGTAATATATCCATCGTGTCGCCGATGGTCTTGTTTAGATCTTTCGTCAGGCCGTTCGTCATGAATGGTACGCCGTTGTTCGGTTATGGTTGGTGTGGCTGAGCCGGAGGACCTCCTGACCTAGCTGTGCCAAAATCCACGACCCTCATGTTATAATTAGTACTTCGGGGGCACCGTGCCTGGGGACGACGGCCTCGACAAAGAACTTAGCTACTTCCAGAGCGGTTTCCGACGGGAGAGTTTTTTTTTTTCTCAGCGTACATTGTGAGGTAATTGGTCGCGACGATGATTCAACGGTTTCCTTGCGCTGATGGTGGGAGGGGTTCAGGCAGCTCCAATCTAATCTGCTGGAACGGAATAGTCGGGGGAGGGATCGACTGTAGGAGTCCTGACGGCTTCGAGGGTTATTTCTTGCGTCCTTGGCATTCGCAGCACGATCGGGCGTTGAGGTGGACAAACTTCGAGAGTTGGGTCAGTAGTAATTTTTTTTTTCGAATCCCGGCAAGCGTTTTGCTGTGGACCAGGCGCCCCGCTGTCGGATCATCATGGCACGTTTGGAAGACTTTCGCTCGATGGCTCGAAGGGATGACCAGCAGCCATATCGAGTTGGAGCCGCCGAAGTTTTCTTTGTACAGTACACTTTCCCGAACAGCGAAGAGTGTCAGGGATCGTACGAGGGCAGGTGTAACTGCACTCCCTTGTCCCACCAGATCATCGATGAGTGCACGGAGCTCGGGATTATGTCGTTGAAGTGCTGCCACGCTTAACACGGTCAACGTGCCAACAAAAACGTTGTCGTGATCACTGCTGTCGGTGCGCTCGGACGCCTACCCGACTGATGCCCTCTATAAACAATCGGCGTCGCTGTGCTTGCGGCCAGATTTGTAGACCAGATTCACGTCGAATTCTTGAAGTCGAAGATGCGCCGTGCGACACGTCCCGAGAAAGTTTTCAGGCTTGCAAGCCAAGGAAGCGAGTGGTCGTCTGTGACCACTCGAAACGGACTTCTGTATAGGAACGGGCGGAATTTCGTAATGGCTCAGACGGCGGAAAGATATTCCTTCTCGGTCATCGAGCAATTTCACTACGCGTTCAACAATGTCCGACTAGCGTAGCCGATCACACGTTCTGTACCCATTTGTCGTTGGACCAGTACCGTGCCAAGTCCTGTATTGCTGGCATCCGTGGGAACTTCTCTTTCGGGTGATTAATCGAAGTGGCCGAAAATCGGTGGCGACTGGAGTCGTAACTTAAGCTCGTCGAATGCCTATTGTCGTTCTGCTCCCCATTTGAAGTTCACGGTGTCTTTTGTGAGGGCCGCGAGCGCCGCAGAATTTTGCGAAATCCCGAACGAACCGCCTGCGGTACGCTCAAAGTCCGAGGAATATACGGATGACCTTCTTGTCGGGGGGCAGTGTAAGTGCCGCTACGGGGCGAGTCTTCTTCTCAAGGTCCGGACGAACACCTTCGTTGCTCACAACCTCACCTAGGAACTTCAGTTCACCGTAGGTGAACCGGCACTTCGTCAGCTTGAGGATGAGTCCGGTGGTCTTGATCGCTTGAAAAACGGCTCGAAGGCGTCGCAAGTGCTCGTCAAAGTCGGCCCAGAATACCAGGACGTCGTCAAGTTAAACGAGACAGCTCTGCCTTTTGAGGCATTCTAGCACGGTGTCCATGACACTCCCGAAAGTTGCCGGCACCATGCGCAGTCCGAAGGGCACCATCTTGAATTCGTAAAGTCCATCGGGCTTGACAAAACCAGTCTTCTTTTGGTCTCATTTGTCAACTTCAATCTACCAGTAGCCACTCTTCAAGTCCATCGACGAAAAGTATCGGTAGTGGGGCAGCCGGTCCAAAGTGTGGTTGATGCGGAGGAGCGGATGCGTGTCTTTATTCGTCACCGCGTTGAGCCGCCTGTAGCCAACGCGCAATAAAAGTGTTCCGGCCTTCTTTTCTACCAGTGCAACTGGAGGACTGGAGAGGCTGCTTGAAGGATGGATTATGTCTTCATTGGGATTTTCTTGCACTTGTTCCTAAATGGCCTCTCTTTCCTCTGGGGAGACCCTATACGACACCATGTTTTGCAACTGTTGTCTGACGCACTTCCGACGTCGTCTCAAAGCAGTCGCTAAATTCGGCGAGGAAGTTTTTGAGCTTTTGTCGTTCCGAAGCACTTAGCCTGGTGTTACCGTCGGGCTGCGGCGGCGGTGTACTGTATGAACATGGTTAAAAGTGCGCACAAATAGAAAGGTACAGAGAAGAGAGAAGAGAGCAGAGACAAGCGCAAACTCACAACTCGATGTATTGAAGGAAGAAAAAAGAACAGCCCCCGGTATCAGCTCGAGCCGAGGCCACACTCGCACGGGGGCACCCAAGCACGCGGAGGACGCACACCATCAACCACACTCAAACGACTGTAGAAAGGCTATTTCCTTGTCAGTTAGAGCCACAGAAGGATGGCTGACACAACACTCGCCTAAGCGGAGTATACTAAAAGCTTCAAACATTTCGCGAGTGTGTTTTTCGGTGAATCTGCCAATTATCGAGGTCTTTTGTAAAGAAGGTGTACACTTACACGCTTGACAATGCAGAGGTAGGTGACCCCCACTGTTGAATTTAGAAAACGATTGTGCCCCCTTAACCGGTCATTAATGCACCGTCCTGTCTGTCCTACGTAGGATCTGCCACAGGAAAGGGGAATGCTATAAACCACTCTGGTTAAACAGGGCACGTAAGGGCGGACGTGTTTTGTGCCGCTCACAGGTGCAGCACAAAACAAGGACCTCG